AAGTATGTATTTTATGTATGTATATATACATATATATATATATAATAAGTATGAATATATATACGTATGTATATATGTATATTAAATTATTACAATATTTACAACAAATGACAATCGCATGTTTTTTTTTAAATGTTCTTGTTGCAGTTGTTTGTGTTGTGTTGTTGTTGTTGGTTGTGTTGGTTATTAATACGATGCCTCGTGGGTTAGACGTTAGTTGACATAAAAATTCGCGATGACAAAAACAACACAAAACAACAACAACAGCAACAACAATATGTTTATCATTTTTGTTCTCTTTTTAATATTTTGTGTATTTTGTTGTTGTTGGTTGTTTGTTCCGTATCTTTCATTCTTTTCTGTTCATTTATTTATTTAAATTTTTTTTTTTTTTTTTTAAATTGTCCATTGGTACTGCGAATCGTTCGTAGGAAAAAGAAAAAAAAAAAGATCGTTCACTCTTGCCTCTCCTTTGGTTTTTACTTATTTATGATTTTATTTTTTTTTTTTTTCCGTTTGTGTATAATTTTTTTATCCTTTTTTTTTTTTTTCTTTTATTTATGGTAGCTTGAAAGTGTCTCTAGATAATATGTATATGTATATGCATGTATGTACGTATGTATGTATGTATGTATGTATATTTATATTTTATATATAATTTGTAATCATTCATTTAAAAACCCTCACGAGCGAGCGCACACAAACGCACAACGCACAAACGCACGCATATACGCACGCACGTACGTACGTACGGCGTCGTTCAAAGATTATTTACAAATGTGTGTGTAGCTTTTTAATGTCCCTTTGTTTAATTGTTAAATGTCTAATCTTCTTTTATCACTTTCTTCTTCTTCTTCTTTTTCCTCTTTTTTTTTCTTTTTTTTTTTTTTTCTATTTCTTCTTCACTTTCGACTTATATATTAGAATTTATTTATTTTTTTTTTTTTGTTCTTTTTGCACAAACATACGTGGGTATTTTTTGAATATTTATACGTGTGTTTATATGTATATATGTATACGTATGCATGTATGTATATGTTTATAATATATATATATAAATATATATTATATATATTTATATATTATATATATATAATATATAATATGTATATCATGACTCGCGAACGATTCGCGATGATCTCGTCTTTTTCAAATCGTATCCTGTGTTTTTTTTTTTTTTTTTTTTGTTATATTATATTATTTCATATTATATTATTTTACTTTACTTTAGTTTATACTTTACTTTATTTTATTTTATTTTTTTTTTTTACTTTACTTTACTTTACTTTATTTTATTTTATTTTACTTAACTTTATTTTACTTTATTTTACTTTAATTTAAATTAATTTTTATTTTATTTTGTTTTTTTATTCAAAGAGTTCTGTGTTTTCGTCATTTTAAATAAACATTTTAAGTTTAATAATAATTCTTCGTCGTTTTCTTCATCCTCTTGTTTGTTCTGGAATTCTGTTTGTTAAAATTGTTCGTTTCATTTATTTATTTTTTGTTTTGTTTTGTTCGTTACAATCTTCGTCGTTTAATTAATTAATTTATTTTTTTGTGTTTGCGTGAGTGTGTGAGGTTTTTTTTCTTATCTTTTCTTTTTTTTTTACTTTTGTTTTTAATCACACGACGACAAATGTTGTGTTAGTTTTTTTTTCTCGACTTTTAGGGTAAGCAGCACACAATTTTTCGTCCCTCGTACTCGAACATTTGTATACTTCGATTTTCACCAATGACATTTCTTCTTATTCTTCATCCTCTTCTTATTCTTCTTTTTCTTCATCACATTTTCATCATCGTTCATCGACGTCCAAAAAACGTGTCGATCTCTTTTCCTCCGTTTCACGTTCACTCGAAAGTTCATCGATTCGCAGTGATTTCACTGAAAGTACAGGCACGAAAACGTGTTCATTAATTAATCATAATTCATGAACTTTCAATAACATATATTTTTTTTTTTTTTTTAATGAAGAAGTATCAAAAAATCGTATTTGTTTAATTAATTTTTCTTTTCTAATATATAATGTTTATTATATTTTATTAATATACTTGGTATCTTATTTCAAACGCAGTGAATGATATATATATATATATATAAATGTTTTAAACAAATATTCCTATCCAATAACATTTATGCATATTATTTAGAATTAAGGACACCTTATGTATTAAAATTATTTATATATAAATAATAATATTATATATTATATCATAAATATTTTTTTTTAATATTATTATTATACAAATCATGTGTGAAGTTGTTTTTTCAAACAAATGGCGTATTCTATGAAATAAGACACCTATATATAGTATTTTTTTTTTATATACAGTATATATAGTATTAATTTTATATATTTTAATATATAAATAATATATTTATTCAATGAATTAAATGAATAAAAAGATATAGGTTTCTTTATTTGGTATTCTTACGATTGTTCGAAACTTCGATATGATCGTTCAATATGAATTGGATAAAAAAAAAAATTAATAAGGAGACATTTATAATTCTGATTGACACATCTATAAAAAAAAAGAAAAATAGGACTTCCGAATACTTGTCTCAATGACTTACCTCACAAACCATTTATCTATATAAATCAGGTTTATCTATCAAACGTCTAAAGGATGAACGAACGTTATGCGAACTGATCAACGAATATTTTTTGTACAAGCTTCTCATCTTTTTTTCTTTTTTTATTTTTTTTTTATTTTATTTAACTCTTTTATCTATCCATTTTATTTTTTTTTTTTTTTGATATTTTTTCTTTTTCTTTTTTCTCTTCTTGTTACATAAAAAAAAAAAAAAATAAAACAAAACCTCTCTGAGAAAAATTATTTACGAATCAACGATCAATATTCAATGTTCGACGATTAATTTTTTCTTTGTTAATAATGAGCATATATACATGTGTGTGTGTGTGTGTGTTTGTGTTTGTTTGTTTGTTTGTTCGTGTATGAGTGTATGTACAATGAACAGTTTTTTTACGAGCAGGAATAAAATGGATGCCATGAAATAAATATATATAAATAAATAAAAACAAATATATACATAATAAAAAACGAAGAAGAAGAAGAAGAAGAAGAAGAAGATGAAAAAAAAAAAAAAAAAAAACCAGAAAGAAAAATATTAACAGACAATGAGAGATAGAAAAATGGAAGAACGGGGGTAAAGTTTTCATAGAAAAATTCAGATTAAAAAATAGAGAGAGAAGAAAAAAAAATATATATATATATATATATATAGAAAGAGAGAGAGAGAAAGAGAGAAAGAGAAAAAAATTGTTTCCAACAACAAACGATAATGAAAAGTGTCGATTTTACGCGGGTACTCTTTTCATAAGAATAAAAAAAAAAATGAAAAATTAAATAAAAAAAAAAAAGAAAATAACAATATGTTGAATAAACGATTGAACTTTGACAAATCGAAATTATTCTCTTGTTTTTTTGTTTTTTTTTTTGTATTTGTTAATTTAAAGAATTAAATTTATGTTACGAATAATAATAATTAACATTTAATTTGCAAAACGATTTAATGTTTTTAACAAAAAATCGAAAAAACTTCGTATTTTGAAATGAAATTAATTTTGTTAAATTGTTTGGTAACAAAAAGTTATGAGAAATATTGTTTATTATTTTATGTTTGTTTGTTTGTTTTTTTTTTTAATTAAAAATTCTTGGTACCCACGTGAAATCATAGAACTAACTACAAAGTATTCCTTGATCATTGGGGGGTGCGTACCTAAAACTATCTGCCGCAATCCAATATGGGGGAACATGGCTGCTACTGTACTTCTATTAACTAGTCTACATAAAGACTAGCTTATGTGTCGTCTGATATGGCGTACATGATATGCGGATGCTCTATAGTGATGTTTTCTAGAAAGACATAGCCTTACGCGTATTCCCCCATCATACCCCCAACAACAACAAAAAAACAACTAATTCCCATATAACTTTCTTTACACCGTTTTTTTTTCTATTTTCATAACAACATTTCATTTAAATCCATTCGTTCGTTTGTTCATTTATTTTATATTAATTTAACAATTATTATGATATAACTTTTGATGAATTTAATTCAATAAAAAATATCCTGACATCTCATTTCATTTCATTTCATTTCATTTCATTTCATTTCATATCATTTGATGAAAGAAGACAAATATTATCGTTCTATTTTAACAATATTTAACTCGAATTTGTTATATTATCCATTTTCTTTTATTTCAAACGAGATTCGAGTAATATTTCAATTAATAATAACTTTAAAACATCTAGCACACATGGTTATTATTTAATAATAATAAYAATATCTAACGATAATAAAATAATATTAATCAACGATCTATCTACCTAACTAACTAGAATTTATTTCCAACCAAATATGATGATGTTCCCATCGTTTCCGATCGGATGTGATTTTTTTTTTTTTTATGGTTTTAAAGACTTCCACAAGGACCCAATAAACTCGGTCCTTCTTGTTTTTTTTTTATTACGAAGCTTATTATAAGCACATATTTGAATAAATACACAATGATAATTCTCCGGAGATTTTCGTAGGATTTTTTTTTGTTTTTTTTTTCCCCACTTTTTTTGTTTTTATGATTAAACATTTAGTTCGCGTGAAATTACAACGATACGAAAGTTAAAGCTTTTTTTTCTTATTATTATTATTATTATTTTTTTTTCTAATCAAAATTTTCCTCTGCACTTTGTGTCCCTCGTTCGATTCCGTTCGTCCTTACTCATCCTTTATCGGATATATTTTCTTACGATTTTTTTGTTATCAATCATTTTAAGTCATTATCTCGTCGTTCATTTTGTTCATTAAAATATTCCGTTTCGTTTAAAAAGCGTGCGAAAAAATCAAATGTCTGTTTCATATATATATATATATATATATATATATGTATATATATATATACGTAAACGTAGTTTGATTATATAAAGCGTAAATTAAAAAAATTCGATCTTCTAATCGACAAACATCATTCTTAGATCTTACAGGATTCTAAGGACGTGGCTGAGGAGCGACGTGATAAAGCAAGGGTTGAAGGCCCACTGACCAGCAATGTGGCGTCAAACAGTTTGTACCATCCGAACACCATCTGATTCAGGTTCAGATCGTCCAATACGATCTGTGCGACGCCCATGAACACTTTTTTTCCTTCGAAACGGCCATAATCACCCCAAACTGTTATCTACGAATATACACACAATTGAATCAAATGGAAAACAAAATCTAAATTAAATTAAAACAAATCGTACGTATTAATGTTGTGTATGATGATGATATTATTTCGAATGAATTTTTTTTTTTTTTTGTAAAGTTACTTACTTGCAATATACAGCCCCGGTAATTTTCTCTAAATGCCAAAGATTCTTGATAAAAAGGATCTAACGTTTTTCGTGCCATCGAGGTCTTCGCTTTTTCTATACATTTCTTCCCATTCATCAGATAAACCTTTACGTAAGGAGCTGTAAAATTATAAAAATTATTATTACACAATAAATCCTTATAATATATTTATATAAAATATATATTTTATAATATTTATTATATATTCAAATAATTATATATTAATATACTATATTATTATATAATTATATTACTATTTATATATTTTTATTATATTCTATATATAATATATATTTTATAATTATATATATATTATATAAAAAAAAATAATAAAAGAGAAGAATAATAAAAATTAAAGTAATTATTAGAAAAAACAATAATTTTTTATTTCATCATCACAATTCCAATCAAATCACCAATATAACAAACTTATTATTAGATGATTAAATTATTATTACAAATAATCACATAAAAGAAAATTTGTTACCAGTAAAAAACCCATTTTCGATAATTTTATATAAAAAACAAAACAAAAATTACTCAATGATTAAATAAGTTCAATATTTATTTAATGAATCAAACAACGTCAAATAACTCGAATGAAAAATCGTGCAACAAAAATGATAATAATCACAAAACCTGCTAATGAACCTAACGTGAACATACACACACATACATACACACTTACATGTATGTACACATGATTCGTGAATGATTCATTGAAGAAAATCTAATAATATGATAAAAATGAATGTAAATAAATAAATATGAAAATGTCTAACCTGGAATGCCTTTGCTTCCAATTTTCGTTTTAAGATCTTTGGCACGAATAATCTCAACTTCGAGATAACCTTTTGTATGGCTAAGAGATAGCTGTATGGCACCAAGATAACAAGCACCTAAAGCTTGTCTTCCAACTACTTGTGCAGGACCAAGATCCTCGATGAAGTCTCTCAGCTGCCCGGTCTCCGATGCCATTCGCAGACTGGGTGACCAGCTGCGGTTTCCAAACAAATATTTTTACTAAACAATCTTACCGATCTCTCCCAAATCTTCATTGTTAACTTCGTAGGTTTTTTCTTTTTTTTTTTTTGTTTTTTTTGTTTTTTCAATTAAATAAAATAACAACAAAAATAAATCTTTTCATTCAAAAGTAAACAAAAGAATAATAATCAAAATTAATATTTGAGGAAGACTGAGAGGGGGTTAGGGTGGTTGGTTCAGGGGGTAGCTGGAAAAGAATTCCAATTATCGGAGAATTTATTCGTAGGAATAATTTTTTCTTTTTTATTATTATTATTATTATTATTATTCAAATAATTTCTTTTCTACGATCTTCAAACTTTCTTCGTCCACTTTTTCTGGATTCTTTTTATTTTATTTTTTTTTTTTTATTTTTTTTTTTCTATGTATTACATTTTTAACAATTATAAATTGTTATTTAATGAGTAAGAAAAAGGTTTGAATAATAAAAATTGTTCGAAATAAATTGTAGTTAAAAAAACATTTCACACAACGTTGGATAAATGAAATTGTCATTATTTATCTAACGTCGAAAACGGTGGGTGGAAAAGGGGGGAAACGTGATAAACGAACGTAAAGCTTATCTTGCGGCGGGAGCGAGGGACGATTAGATTTTTTATTATTAATTATAATTTTTTTTTTTTATTATTTATTTATTTATTTTTATTATTTTTATTTTTTTTTCCTAAGCCTTCGACGAAAGTGCGTTTTAATTTTTCATTTTAATCGAATTTTTTTTGTCGTGAGAAAAGATAGACAGAGATGAAAAGAGAGAGAGAGAAAGATAGAAAGAGAAAGAGAGAGAGAGAGAGAGAGAGAAATAGATAGAAAATGAGATAGAAAGAGATAGACAAAACAAAAATAGAGCAAAATAGAGAGGATAATATCTCACGTGGTCAAAAATTCACACTGAAAGTGTTAATGGTTTTTTGCTTCTTTTTTTGTTTTTTTTTTTTTTTAGTGTAAATATAGCGATTAAATATTTATTTAAAAATAGAGCAAGAGAGAGAGAGAGAGAGAGAGAGAGAGAGAAAGGTAAGTAAGAATAATTAATTTGTTTATACGAAGAGAGCATACGAGTTAGATAGAAAATCAAAAAGACATACTTCAGGCTATCAAACTCATGCAATTCACTTAACAGCTGTATGCGTGTGATTAGTAACGTGTGTTTGTGTTATTTGTTTCAAATTTTGTTGATTACAAAAACTACGATCGATATTGACAAATTAAAAAATAATTTTAAAGAAGATTTTTTATAGATTTATTTTTTTATTGTATTTTTTATTTAATTTTACAGTATCGATCGTAGTGAGTCGTTCTAAATAATATTTCTAATTTTCAATCAGTGGTGGGGGGTGGGGGAGGCGGGGCTTGAGGGAAAAACATGCTAACGCTAGAATGAAAAAAATTACAAATCATTCGATTGACAAGTGTTAATTATAAAATTCTCTAAATATACGTATAAGTTAAAAAATCAAATTGAAAACTGACTTACGGTCGTTTACTCGAAGATCCTGCTAAGAGCCAAATTTAAATTGCACACTCTATGAATAATATTAGTTTTAAAAAAAGAAAAAAAAGAGGAGAGAACAATTTCTTTTTTTTTTTTTTCTTTCTTTCAGGGGTCAGGGAGAGTTTCTTATTCATTTGATTTTGTAACACCATTATAATATAATCCCACACATGATTTGTATTAAACGGTGATCTTATTAGAAATAAAAATTTATAATAGACAAATTAACATTATATATATATAGATATATAGATATATAGATATAGATATAGATATTATATTATCGAATTATATAGTAGATTTATTAATATTTAAAAATAAACTTACACACAAGTGAAACAAGCAAGATTATTATCACGCACGAGTAATAATTATTTATGCGTGTAGAAATAATTTCCATAAAATGTTATCAAAAATTTAATTTAAAAAAAAAAAACAAAATGTACAACTCTTGCTCGTGATTCACGTTGCAGTTTATTATTATTTAAATTAATAATATTAAAACCAAAAAAAAAAAAAGAAAAAGAAAATTAGAAACTATTAAATATTAAGTATCCTTGCAGTTGTCCTCATCCACGTGTTGCTTCTTTGGATTACGTCAATGATAATTGATAACACGATCATTTAATATACGTTTAGAGAGAGAAAGAGTAAGAGAGAGGAAGAAAGAAAAACAAAGAGTGAGAGAGAGAGAGAGAGATAGATAGATAGATAGAGAGAGATAGAAATAGACACGAGTATTAAATACTGTTAATAAATAAAACATAACCATTCTCTTTGATTTTTTTAAAAAAAATCATTATTTGTTTATCACAGATGATTATCGTTGAATCGACGCAAACGAAGATAACTTCGTTAAAATATAATCGTACGAGTAAATTTTCGTGTAAAAAAAAAAAAAAAAAAAAAAAAAAATTATCGTATACCTAAAAAGAGAGAGAGAAAAAAAAACACATGTTTTTTTGTATTTTATTTGTTGTACGAGCCATGATCGTCGATTCATCGTTGATAAATACAAAATACACTTATCTAATCTACGAATAAGGTGCATCGCACAAAACAACGTTGAGAGATCGATATATATTATAATAATAATATAATAATAATAATAATAATATAATAATGTTATTATATATTCTTTCCAAGTAAACATATATAATAATAATAATAATAATAATAATAATAATAATAATATCTATTATTTATATAATATATATATATATAAGAAGTGTGTCCCAATTATTTTCTGTAAAATTTCACCAGTTTTATTTATAAGATAAAAGTAAGAATAAAAATATTGCATTAACATTGAACTTTTAAATAATTTATTTAAAATGATAAAACAAATATACACTTCTGTGAAATTTATGTAAAAAGATTAACGATGTTTTTCTTACACAATATTATAATTAATTATTTTAAAAGCTCCCGTATAACATTTGATTTTATCGTATTATCTTATTTTTCTGTTAAACTCACATAAATATGATGATAAAAATTTTTGAAGAAAATAATCTAGGACACCTTGTATTATTATGTTTGCTGTACAAATAATATAGGATTATACACAGATATATTTTAAAAGGAAAAATTCAAAAAAATAAAAAACAAAAGAAAATTCAGATAAGAAAAATATATACGATGATAAGAAAAGAAAAAAAAAAAAAAAGAAAAAAAGACAAGAAAGTAAATTTTCCGTTTTGATGATGATACGAAAAATAATGATTTTCCCTTTATTTTCTTGAAAAAATGTTTCTCCAACGTTTAGACATAATTAAATTACACACACGCATACACACAAATAATGTAATAATAATTTTCTTAAACAAAATTACGAATATATATATTTTTTATGTACAATTATTTTTAATGTGCTTTCGGAAAACAAGTTTTTCAATAATAATAATAATAATAAAAACAAAATAATAATAATAATAATAATAATAATAATAATAATAATAATAATGCGATAATACGAGATATAATCACTTGCGGCAGCCAAGCAGTAAGCCAAGGCGACAATAAACATCGATAAATTATTAATTATTGTATTTTTTATTTTTTTATTTTTGTAAATTAATTTCTTTTCCTTTTTATTCGATTGAAGACCTAATCGAGAGAAATTTGTTCTCAGAGAGAGAAAGAGAGAGAGAGAGAGAGAGAGCGAAACACATCGATAAAAACGCGTAACACAAATGAAACAAACCAAACAAAAAATGCATTATTATAATACACACAGTATATTAATCGTGATAGAAGAAGCAGTTTCAAACATTAGTAGATGTACACAAGAAATTTCAAAATATAATATAAGAATATATATATATGTATACATTTTTCAAGGCGACTTTGTATATATCGTACACACTGTACAAAGTTTAGAAATAAAGATAAAGAGAGATAGAGATAGACAGAGAAACTGAGAGAGAGAGAGAGAGAGAGAAAGAGATAGACAGAGAGAAAGAGAGAAAGAGAGAGAGAGAGAGACACAGAATGAGAAAAAGAGAGTGAGTTAAAAATTAATAATTAATTACAGTGTACTCTTATCAAATGAATACACAAATAAATACTTTGAATCGTGTGTGTTTGTTTTTGGTTTTTTTTCTTTTTCTTTTTTAATTTTGTCTTTTGAATATTATTCTTATTACTTCTCATTTTCATATGATTGTTAGTTAATACGTTAATATATTTTACATATATGTACATGTTATCACACGCGTAAGTAGAATTTTTGTTAATGGTCTGACCGCGTATATAAATGCCTGACTTGTACTACTTAAATACAAACACGTAATTTGTTCGAGGATAATTCATTTGTTCGAAACAATTAATTAATTTAATTTTGTTTATATAATATCATCGTTGTGGTCCTGATCGAAGTGGAAAATAACGAAGGATGATTGTTCAATTAAATAATAATAACGATATGTAATTGAAACAGAGAGAGAGAGAGAGAGAGAGAGAGAGAGAGAGAGAGTAAATAATATACAGAAGAAAAGGAGAGAGAAAGAAAGAGAGATAGAGAGAGAGAGAGACAAAGAGATAGAGAGAGAGAGAGAGAGAGAGAGAGACAAAGAGATAGAGAGAGAGAGAGACAGATAGAAAAAAGTGAAGCAAGACGACACGAGCGTGTATTAGAATAACAAATTTGGAAACTGGCATCACCGATAGGATCATACAATTTGGAAGAACATCAATAAGCGACAAGTGAAAAAGAGAGAGAGAGAGAGAGAGAGAGAAAAAAAATCTTCGTCCGACACTCTCGAATCTCGATGAATTTTATGAACGAAATAATAAAAATACGATTAAACGTACGACGTAAATACTTCCTTAAAAAAATAATTATTATTAATTAACCAAAAGAAATTTTACGATAAAAAATATAAAAACGAAGATCGTTTCAAAGAATAGAAAAGTAAAGTAAGATAATAAATCAAAGTAGTAATGGTAAGTACTTTAAAAAAAAAAAAATCATATCATTAAACGTTAATCAACAAATATTTCCTGCAACAAAAGAGAGAGACAGAGAAAGAGAGAGAGAGAGAGAGAGAGAGAGAGAAATTGGGATAAAATAAAGTGAAGAACAAGTGAGAAGAATAAATAAAGAAACAGATTGATTTGAATTAAACAGAAAGAGATAGAGAGATAGAGAGAGAAACAAATAGTTTCAAAGACAAATGATCAATTGGAATGAATGATGAAAAAGAGAAAAATAGAAGAAAAAACCGAATTGATAGACAGAGAACAAGAGAGTTAGAGAGAGAGAGAGAGAAGGGGAAAGGATGAAATAAAGAAACAAATTGGGAACAGAAGTATGAGAGAGAGAGAGAGAGAGAGAGAGAGAGAGAGAAAGAGAAAGACAGAGAGAAAGATACGTCCGCGTTTCCGATTTGCAGAATTGTTCCGGAGAGAGAGAGAGAGAGAGAGAGAGGGTTGGGAGAAGGCACCACTACTTACGAGCTTGTTTCTGAACTAGATATCGAGTTGAGACTTCCGGCTGTATCGCTGGCCACAGATCCCACCATCTTGCCAGAATCGAAGCGTTGATAGAAAGAATAGATCTCCTCGCTACGTTGGATGCTGCAGGGTGTACTGTTGCGCTTCCGATTCGAAAAAGCGACGACTCGTAACTCGCTGATAATGGTACCGCTACCAACACCACTACCACCACCACTACCACCACCACCACTACCACCACCACTACTACCACCACCTCCACTACCACCAACGATACCACCACTACCACCGACACCACCACCACCACCGAGGACGAGCATCCCGTTTTCTGCGTAGTCAAAAGCAACAAACAAAAAGAAGACAACAAGAAACAAACATTCGATCGAATATATTATTATATTTTATTATTAATTATTTATATTTTTTCTGGGTTTTTCCCGCCCCCCCCCTTTTCGCGTTATTATTATTTTTATTTTTAATTTTATTATTAGAATTATTATGATCATTATTATTATTATTATTATTAGAATTATTATTAATATTATTATTTTCTTCTGAATAAAACTCATGCTCTTAGTTAACCCATTATATTTTTTTTTTTTTTTTTTTTGTAAAAAAAACTTTTTTCTCTTTCATCATCGAAAGCTTTATTTTAATATTACGAATAATAATATCAATTAGATGTTATCTTATCTCTCTCATCTAGGTAAGTGCAGCTTCTAAAAATATAATCTCACTTTCTCATTGAAATCTTTCGTTCTCTCATCCCTTTCTCTCTTTTCACATCCTCTCTCGACCTTTCTCTCCCTCTCTCTCTCTCTCTCTCTCTCTCTCACTCTTTCTCAAACTTTCCTGACTCTCCAAAGTTCCTATTCTTTTTTTTTTTGTTTTGTTTTGTTTTTTTTTGAAAATACATTTAAACGAGGTACATTTCTAAATATTTGTTTTCATAGAGGTTTGACGGTGATAACAACAACAACAACAACAACAACAAGAACGATTGTGATAATGACGATAACGATGATGGTAATGGGTGACACGTATGATAAAATATTTATAAAAAAAAAATTAAAAAAATAAAAAAATAATAGAAGAAGAAGTTAAATGTCAAAATAAAAATAAGAAAAAAGGATGACCATCGAATTACAAAGAACCTCAGGGGAAAAAAATGTTGAAAAGTAGAAATATATATGGGGAAAAAGGAAAGGGAGTTTATGGGATGTGGTGATTGATACAGGAAAAATCTTGAATCATCGGTCTCGTGAAGCAAGTAGCACAATCATCTACCTGAAAAAATGTCTTTAGTCAGTACACAAATAATATCTGATATTTTATTGTATTTTTTTTTTTTTATTCTATTTGTTCATTTTGTTTCGTTTTAATCCGAATCGCGTATCGCAGCCTGCAAAAGAAAGATTTTACATAGAAAAAGAGAGAGAGAGAGAGAGAAGGAGAGAAAGACAGAAAGAGAAAGAGAAAGAGAAAGAGAGAGAGAGAGAGAGAGAGAGAGAGAGAGGCAGGATGCTGAAAGATAAATAACCTGGAAATGATTGAAAAAGTTTATCATTAAGTTTGTTTTTTTTTTTTCTTTTTTGTAACAAGAAGCTCGTTTTCTACCACTCGTTTTCTCTCGTATAAAAGTTAACAAAAAAAAATAAAAAAAAAAAATAAAAAAATAAAAATAAGAAGCTAGAACTTTCGAGAATCGAATAATAAGAATATCGTTGGTGTAATATCTTTTAAAGAGATAAAGAAAGTAAGTATAGAAGAAAAAAAAAGATATCGAATGGATAAAGTATTAACGAAGTTTTCAAGAAAAGCCGAACTTGCAAACGAATATACATATATATATATATATATTTCTATGTGTATATAAAAGATAATTGCATCCATACATATATATGTATATGTATCATTTATTTATAATATACAGAGCAGGGTTTCTCAAACTTTTGCATTCAACGATCCCCCATTTTTTATTGAACAAATATTATCGCAATTTTTTGTATAACTCAATAATTTATCATCTTCACTGTCACAAACTCAAACATATTATAAGCTTACTGTCACTAAATTGGTTTTGAACTAATTTGTAATTTTTATCACAACCCCGAAATTTAATATGCAATTCCATATGGAGTCGCGTTGCACACTTTGAAAAACCCTGATATGGAAAAATAGAAAAAACTCTTCTTTGTTCTTCAAATTGGCGCTTCGTGGTTGTTTGTTTTATTTCTGACGTGTTATTGACTTGAAAACCTTTTTTTTTGTAATTAAGTATTTGTAGATGTATATGTAATATGTATATACCTATTTACATAAAAGTGTATATACATACATACATATAAACGAGCTATTGCATTCTACGAATACAATGAAAAGTTTGTTCGAGAAAGCTGAAGGCACCTGCTGTATAATTTATGATTAATAATTTTCTATTAACAAATATTTTAGAAAATGTTATCAACTTACCTATGATATATTCGTGTATATGTTTATATGTATGCATGTATGTAAGATAAAACGATTTGTAGAAGATCTGTGTATGTAGCTTGTTGTGACGTGTGTTGTATGTGTATTAGGCCGCGTTAAAATTGAACAATAGAATCTTTTTAGTAAGCTTTGTATCGAGAAGCTACACAACAAAACAACAAAGAGAAAAAGAGAGAAAGAAAAAGAGAGAAAGAGAAAGAGAGAGAGAGAGAGAGTGAAAAAGAGAAAGAGAGAAGAAAAGAGAAAGAGTTACACACTCGTCATATAAAAGAAATTCAAATCCATCTATGTGATGATACACTAAATTTGTTTAACTAATCATCTAACTTCTATTCCCATGTTGCATTAAACGTTGCAACAAAATTTAAATTAGTGCACAATTAAATGTGTATCTTAAACTAACCGATATCAACATTTTCGTGCTTTGTAAAATATATTTTGTAATAAAAGAAACAAACAATTTATACAGATGCATGGATATATTCGTGTTAATTCTAAAAATTTGATCATTATCTCGTGCTTGATAATAAATAACTAAAAAAAAAATTCTATAATAAATGAAATCAATAATTTGTAGAGATGAATAGACAAAAATAATTACATTCCTGACAAATTTATTAAAAAAGTTATGAAATCGATCCCATTGGGAAGCTCGTGCAAACATTTGATCTAAAAAAAAAAAAAAATAAATAAAAATAAAAAATGACAAGAATAAAACAAGTGTTTGTAAGAAGATCTACGTTATTTAATAACAATAGCTTTCTAAAAGATTTATTATAATAAAAAACTAGAAAGAGAGAGAGAGAAAGAGATAGATAGAGAGAAAGAGACAGACAAAGTGAAAAAGAGAAAGAGAGAAAGAAAGATAGAGATAGAGAGAAAGATAGAGAAAGAACCATCGTGATTATTTTCTATACAACAAAAGTATCGTGCACTTTCGATTAAAAATACTTTCTAAATTTTGTTCTTTTTTGTTAAATAATTTTATAATAATTATATACTATTTTTTTATTATAATTATTATTAGAAATGCATGGATATGAGATGAGAGTATTTTTAATACGATAATCACGATTGGTGTCTCTAATTTATATTTAAACCGTTCTACAAATTAATTAAATAATAATAATAATAATAATATATAATGTTAATATACTTATTTAATATTACGTAAGAAAGAAAAGCGCGCTAAATCTAACGAATACAATTGTGCTTGTGTGTGTTTTTTTTTTCTTCTTGCATTTTGTTGTTCCTTTCGATTGCATCAATGCAACATTAGCAATAATAATAATAGTAATAATAATATTAAAAATATAATAATAATAGCAGCAACGATGATAATAGCATATCGTTTTCATGATTGTATCATCAATTTGATTAAATGTATAAATTTTTTTTTTGTCCACCCGTTATTTCTTTTTTTTCCTCTGACTTGTACTCACGTTTCGTCGGAGGCTCGTTTTTTTTAAATTTATATTTAACGTAATTAACTAATTGTTATATTATTATTTTTTTTTTTTTATTTATATTCATAATGATCCGCGTTTTCAATTTTCCCGAAACGTTTTGATCGATTCGAGTATTTATTTTTATTGTAAAAAAACTGTACAACTATTGACCATTGCATAAATAAATGCTGTCGTACTATTTTGTATTTGAAATAAAAACGATTTAAAATATATTCTCTAAATAATTAACATTTAATTAGATGTTATATCAAATATGAACAAATACGTACGTACATTATATTTATAATATTTTAAATTGTTTTAGTAAAAAAAAAAAAAAAAAAAATACAGTAACAAAATGGTAGCCAACATTAATAAATTGCAAATACCGATGATCAATCGTTGTACAATTTAATTTTATTTTCTCCTAACGAGAAAACATTTTGAATTTGTATATTTTATTTTAATTTTTTTATTTTTTTATTTATTTTTCTTTTTTTTTTTTTGGAAAGGGGGGAAAGACAAGCCACCTCGTTTGAGGAACTAAGTTCGAACGAACGCGGGGCGTACGGCACGGCGAACAATCTCGTCCAATTTCTTTTCGAGAAAGGGAAGGTTTTTTTTCTAATGGGATTGAAAGAATATAGAATAATATATCAATATAGATAYAAAGATAAAGATAAAGATAAAAATAGATCGATCGATCAAATTATATATATATATAAAAATATTTATATATTATAATTATTCTACCACGAATCCTAAATCCATTGCTCCCGCACGCGAGCAATTCTATGGGGGGAAAAAAAAGTGTAATGGAATACGGTCAAAAATGATTAGGGTTGGCTAGGGCTAGGAATAGAACTGTTGGATATCAAATAAAATATATATATANACTACATTAAATAGAAATTAGTAACAGGTATTTCTAAATTGTAAGAAAAGAAAAAAATCACATTAGATAAAAATAGATAAGATTATTAACTATATCAAATAAAATATATATATATATATATATATATATATATATACATATGTATATAAAAACCTAAAAAGAAAAAGAAACTACATTAAATAGAAATTAGTAACAGGTATTTCTAAATTGTAAGAAAAGAAAAAAATCACATTAGATAAAAATAGATAAGATTATTAACTATATTAACTAAAACATTGCAATAAATATTAAATGAAATAATATGCAGTTTAAAGATGGATAAAGATAAAAGTATATAGAAAGATAGAAAGATGATAGTGGGAGTACGATTAAGGTATTACTAAAGATGATTCGGTTATAATAAAAATTAATGAGGGTAGAAGGGGGAGAGGATAAAATGGTGATTTAGTAAAGATAAATAGTAGTGGTACATGGAAAAATAAAATAAAGAAGAAGAATAACAAGAAATATAAGTAGAAATAAAAAAATAAAATTAATAATAATAATAATAATAATAATAATAATATAATGATAATGACAATAATAATAATAATAATAATAATAATAATAATAATAATAATAATAATAATAAAAAAGGAGATAAAGTACGGTTTAGTGGGACGATGGACGGACCTGTCCCCGTCGCCGCTTCCCTCGCCATCGCTGCTCGCGGAGCTCGCTTGCCTTCCGCTCCTACCGCTGGCCGTGTCCTCCGGTAGGACTTCCTCGCTCCTGTGAACTGTAAAGGACGACTTCCCCTTCTTCCCAAATCCAAGCCGTCGTTTCCGTCCTTCCTCGCCCACGCATGTACCACCAACAGATGCACGTGGCATGGTTATGGTTTTTTTGCGTGACGCGTGACACGATTTGTCGTTGTTGTTGTTGTTATTGTTGTTGTTGTTGTTGTTGTTGTTGTTGTAGATTAATAGTAGTAGTTTGTTGTATAATGAGTCGTTGTTCATAATTGTATTGTTGTAATTGTTGGTCATCGTAATATTGTGTTTGTGTTTCATTTAATTATTGGTTTTGTTGATGGATTCATTTAATGGAGAATATGTATGGGATTAATAGTCAAATTCATATTCGTTGTTATATATATATGTATATACAAAATATATACATATATATGTATATACACGCAATATCCGTGTGAATGGTATAGTTGTATTTGTAGATAATTATATTGTAGTTGTAGATGTTGTAGATGTTGTTGTTGTAGTTGTAGTAATAGTAGTAGTAGTAGTAGTAGTAGTAGTAGTAGTTGATCGTGTACGAGAGTGTTAATTCCGTGACGCGATCGCGAAGGTGGATCGACGATCGGCCATATCACGATGAAATGTCGTGCAGGTGGGTACAGGTCGATGACGTTAATGGGCCCCCAGAGCGTCGAGAGAGATGGTTGGTTGGTTCGGTAGAAGTAAAGTGTGAATGTGTTCATGTTGAAGAGAGGCGGATAGAGATGAGGAGGGATGGCGGAGAAAACAAGAATACGATTAGAATGTAGTTAGTGGTCGCCCGTTGATTGGGGGTTGTTGGTTTTTTTTTTTTTTTTTTTTTTTTTTTTTTTTTTTTAATCTGATCTGGATTTGTTTTTTGTTTCCTATTTTTTAATGATTATTTTTCTTGTTTGATGCTACAACTACGGTGTGCTCTAGGTATGCTGATCTTTTATAAACTTTGTAATTGTTTTCTTTATTTCCTTGGATCAAAACACGTTTCTAACGAATGAAGGAAGATAAAAAAAAGAAATGGTGTGAAAAATAAAATGAGATAAAAAGAGTTTATATACAGGTGATTTATAGGGATTACTGTAATTAAGATGACAAAATTCGCGAACTATGGATACGTTTGATTTATTCTAAATTGATTATAGCGAGAGCACACCGTTACTATCTATACACTAATATATGAATCCTATTTACTAAAAAAAATGCACATTCTAATATTTTAAAAGGGATTATTGCTCTTTAACACGACACATGTGACAGTATATACTAAAAAATATATTAGATATATATATATATATGTGAAAAAAAGAAAAGATAGAGTAGGGGATAACAAACATAGGTGACATCTATGGTATAGTATCACGTAGTAAAAAAAATATTATCTATCGTATAATATGTGCGAATATACAAATATATACATACGACATACGTCATTTACCTATGTGTTAATGTGTATGTATGTATATACATACAAAGTATATTAATTTCCCTTTCGTTACTAGTAACCCATTATATGAATCGTTCATGAAAAGAAACCCTTATATACGAAAGACCCCCTATATGGGTCCGTTCGTTCATGTAAAAAGGCCCCATATAAATGATCGACCCATATACGGGTCACGCCAAGTATGTACGAGTGAATTTATATGAAAAGTTATTCGCGTAAGGATAATGTAACGAAAGGATTAGAAGTATCATACTAGGTGTATATATTCGTACGTATCAAAGTGGAATTAGGCCATTAAAGAGAGTAAAAAAATGTATATATATAGAGAGAGAGAAAATTATTATATGAATGATTAACCGATCTTATTTTTTTGTTTGTAGGTTACAGGATAAAAATTCGCGCTTCACTTTATCAACGGTATCCATTTTGTTTTGTATTTCTTTTTCTTTGTTTTTTTTTTTTTTTTTGTTGGTTTATTTAATTCCATTTTCCTGATTTTGTTCGTTTTATATTTTTTTTTTTGGTGTTCTCTTTTCATGTGTGTTAATTTTAATTATTATTTTAACGCGTAAAAGTGAACTGGGTGGAATGTCAAAAGTATTCGCGTTTTTTGTTTGTATTATCATACGTAATGGTATATAGTATTTTAAGATTTGGAAAATAGGTAAAATAATATTGTATAATAATAATAATATTATCGAGACAAAGAGATATAATGGACAGCGTGACGATGTGTTACCTGTCGCGGATAGCTGACTCGTGCTGTTACTCTTCTTTCCAAGACCGGTCTGATACTGTACGGCGCTTCCGCCGCCGCTGCTACTTCCGCTTCCACTTTTACTACCCGGTGAACTCTTACGACCCCTCCTCGAGGCATCATCCACGTGACTGACGGCCGTGTCGCTCAAACTACCATCTGCGAACAAAAATTCCTTGATAAAGTTGAGCTTTTTGTCATCCCCTTTTGTTAACCACCCCCGTGTCAAAGATATGAAGAAAAAAAAAAGGCGGAAGAGGAAGATTAATTGGGACTTGTTTTTTTTTTTTTTTTTTAGTTGCTCAAAAATCAAAGTAAAGTAAGAAAATAATTTTTTGTTAAGGGGGGTACTGTCATTTATTTCATGATAATAATAAATTATTATTATAAGCGAATAAAATGGAGGGAGTATTATTGGGGATATTAATTGTACGATTAAATACGATATTGATCCCTGTAATTTATTATATACTATTATGTATTGTTAAATTATTCTAATATTAGAGAATAATACTGTTTTAGCACATTTATGCCCCATATTTGAAGAATTAGAACCAATATGGCGAAAGCATTACTATTTTTAGAATTAGTACACCAAATTTATCCAAAAATAAATTTAATTTTCAAAGCACCCGAATCGACCCAAACTTTTTCTATTTGCAAATAGTAAAAAAGTAACAAGGAATTTGGGTAATTATTTCTGTCCCAATGAACGTGTTAAAAGAAGGATAAGATTATTTTTATTGATACATTGTAATCACCTAACTTCGATCTTGAAGAAAAGAATGAAAATAATGTAAGGTACAAAAGAGATAAAGAAAGAAGAAAAGAAGAAGAAGAAGAAGAAATAAAAGAGAATAATCGTAGAAAAAAATTGTTTTTTTTTTATTTCTCGAATGGCAGGAGGCCTTTGGGAGACCTTGGAAAGGTAATTTTGGGCGACGGCCAACGAAAGAACGTTGTATAGTCAAAGGACTGCTAGGAACGTAGAACATCTTCCCCTTCCATCTTTTATTGCGATCGATGAAAGTATCAAGAGAGAAAGAGAAAGAGAAAAAGAGAGAGAGAGAGAGAGGCAAATGGAATTCGTGACTAAGCTCTCTCCAAGCAAAATCCGCATGCCGGTGGTATACATGTATACTACTTGTACATGTATATATATATATAAAAGGGAAGAAGAGTCACGTTCGCGGTTCTTCGACCGATGAGATAGAATGACATAAAGAAAGAGAATGATCTAGCTGAAAATGTAAACGATTTACAAAAAAAAAAAAAAAATAAATAAAAAAAGAACACTTTCACAAAGGATAATGGAAGTTGAGAGATTCGATACGTTAGCAAATACAATAACAGACCCGTATTCTATCAGAAATTGAGGAATTTGAATAACCCTCGTATAGGGTGGGACACAAATTAATTGTGTATCCTTAATAAGAATCGAATGGAATAATAAATATAAAAGTAAAAAGAGGATTCGTTGAAGATATGAATACAAGTAACGAGAAGAATATCAATGGTATAACTTACCAACTTTCTCATCGGGCGGTGCGTCCGTGTTACTGAGACTCCTAATAAATTGGCCCCGTTTTCCTGTATGTTGTTCGTCGTGGCCATTGTCGGTCGTCTGATGCCTCGTTGGTTTTTCGTACGAGCTCGACTGGCCGGAGTACTCGCTGCTTTCGGGCATGGAGGAGGAGCGACGATCCCGCGGGTCGTCGTCGTCGTCGTAACGTCGTCGTCGATGATCAACAACATCACCGTCGAGAACGTCACCATCGCCGATGATGACGTCGACGGTACCGTCGGCGTCGCCGCCGGCGTCGTGATAAGTTATTATTTTCCGATGGTGAGTGGTACGTCGATGGGAAGTCGTTGGGAAATCATTGTCGTGGTCGTGACGACGATTGGTAGGGTTATGATAGTAATTGTTAGCGGCGACGTAGTCAACGGTATTATTATTATTATTAATATTATTATTGTGAATAGAGGAATGAGGATGGGCGCAGCATTGACACGACGACGACGACGACAACGACGGCGGCAGGTGCGGGTGCGGGTGCGGATGTTGATGATGTTGTCGATGATGTGGTTGATGTTGTTGTTGTTGATGTTGTAGTTGATGTTGTTGATGTTGTAGTTGTTGTTGATGTTGTTGTTGTTGATGTTGTTGTTGTTGATATTGTTGTTGGTGGTATTGCGTCGATGTCGGTTTCGCGATCGTACGTGGGTTTTCGTGTTGATGATCGTCGGCCCGTGGGTGGTAGTTTTTAGCAGTGTCGGAGGTAGCGGTTTGGGAATCAAAGAGACTTGAATTAGCGTTACCGGGGCGGGGTGCTCGGTTACGGGGCCTACGCGGATCGCACGGGCCAAATCCGCAGTTCTCGCTGCACTGGCTCTCGCTTTCCATCGAGTACTCGTAATACTCGAGGGTGTCGCTTATCGCCACGTTCCTCTTACTACTCGGTTGTTGTTGTTGTTGTTGTTGCGGTTGTTGTTGTTGCTGCTGTTGTTGCGGCTGCGTTTGCGGTTGTTGTTGCGGTTGCTGTTGTTGTTGTTGATGAGCGCGTTGTTGGGTCTGGGAAGAAGCGTGCATCGCCGAGGGCTGACGCGAAGGCTGACGCGAAGGTTGACGCGAGGGCTGACGCGAAGACTGGTACCGGCCGTCCTGCTGCGGCTGTTGCTGCCTCTTCTCTATAAGCTCGAGTTCCCTAGCCTCAGGACAGCTGCTGTTTCGCCTACGATACCTTTGTCTCGCCTCGACTAACGACCTCCTGTCATCGCTCCTACGCGACCTACCAATGCCGTCTAAATCGCCACCGAAAGAGGACAGCGCCAGCTCACGGCACTCCGGACAGCTACTTTTTCGTCTAATACTACCGCGCGTCGAGGACGACCAATTTTGATAACGCGACTCGTGCGGGCTCGAGGAGGAACGTAGCGACCCTGACCTAACGAATTCGCGAGCTGCGGCAGCCTCGTTACATTCGCGACACTCGTAATCCGGCAGGAGATCGTACCTCGAGGAGACTACCGGCGGTTCCTCGTCGTAGTAATCTGATCTAACCGATCCTAATCGGTCTTCGCCTACAAGGACTACACCACCACCTCTACTACCACCACCACCACCAGCACCACCACCACCACCACTACTACCACCCCCAACACCAGTACCACCACCACCACCACCATCCTCGCGAACCTCCAACTCGTTTTTCCGCCTAAAGTAATCGGCACCAACGACCGTCTCCATCGAGCCAAATTCCTCCTCGGAGTCCAGCATAAAGTTCGACCTTCCTCTATCCTCATCCTTGAAATTAGCAGCACGTCGAAGAGTTTCACTAGATCGTAGATATTCCTTTGACTCGGGACAACTGCTGTTGCGTCTGCGACGATATAGACGTCGATTTCTCGCATCTAACGCCGCTGGACACGTGCTTGGATCTTCGTCTGAATGCAAGACCGGTGTTGATTCGGCACGTTGAATCATCATCATCCTCTTGCTCTCGGAAAAAGTCGGTACAGTCAAGCTATCCTTCGTCGTAGGTGGCATGACGAGGTGATCCCTGCCGTTAAAAGATCTCACATTTTCATACGCGACCAAATTGGGATCACCTCTGCTGCCTCGTCTGCTTCTTCTCCTACGTCTTCTGGGAAATGTGTTGTTGTGGTTGTAAATCTTATCATTCTCGAGGCCATTCGTGTGCGTTCTTATCGTCCGGTGATAATCGTAGTCGTCGGCACTACGATAACCGTTGTAATCGTCGTCGACGATAAAAGTCCTATCGTCAAAGTGTGCGTTTCTCGAAGCGGCAATTCGTGGGGAATGTTCGTCACGATAGTAATCGTCCTGGTGACGACGATAAATGGAACGGTCGGCATTACGCAAATTGGTCGTCGTCGTCGTCGCGTTCGTATTACCGGTCATGTTCGTCGTCATCGTCTGGGTCGTAGTCCTCGTCATATCGTCTAGGTCGTTCTCGTAACCGTATCGTCCAACGTCAACGAGGTCCTCGTCCAACTCAACGACGTCGTGGTCGCGGTCGTCGTGGTCGCGGTCGTCATCATCGACGTCTTCGTCATCATAATCCTCGTGATTACGACGATCGATGAAACCCTCGTCTTCGTCATCGTAATCGACCTCCCAATTCTCGTAACGGTCGTATTCGTCCCCGAGATATGAGTCGGTGCTTTTTGTTCGTCTGCGTGGCGGAAGGGAAGAAGCAATGGCAGCGATTCTTCTGGTTTGGCGGTCGTACTCGTCGTCACTCCGGGTGCCATTGTAACAATTGTCCGAAGAAGACACGGTCTCGTCTATGCTGTAATACACATGGTCGTTGAGGGGATCGCAAAGATCCGGATCATTGAGATTTTTCGTTCTCTTCTCGGCGGATATGTGCGCGTTGAAGGTGGTGGCATCGTGATCCTGATAAGAGGAGGACTCGACGTATTTCCTCTTGGTAGTGTCCTCGCGGCCAAAGGTGGATCTAAGGTCGTCGGTGAGCGTCGTGGCGGTGGTAAGACGGCGCGGATTTAGGGGTGGGTAAGGTCGATGGTGATAGTCCTCGATGATGCTCGTCGTTGTTGGCCGTTTGCTGTCGAAGCTCGGCACGTAAATCTCTGTCTCACCCGCGCTGAGCTCCGAATCGTAACCGTAAAAGGGCTTGTGATCTTGGCTCGTGAGGTAATCATAATTGGGCTCCTTGTTCAGCAAACTCTTTGGCGGCTTATCGTCGCCATTTGAATCGTAGTAGGACTTGCTCTGGTCCCCCAGAGCCGGTATCTTGTCGCCGTAACCGGCGTCGCTCAGAGAAAGATTTCTCTTCAACTTCCTCCTCGCCGTTCTGAGACTGTCGTCGCTGAATATGTTGCTTGAAATGGTCTCGTACTCGAAACTCTTGGCTCGGCGCGACAACAGGCCGGTGTCCCGTAGCCTAGTGGTACCAAATCGATCGCTGAACGGATCATGTATCACATCGTAATCGAAGCTTCTAGCCTTGGAAAACAAAAAAGACCTACGCGGGCGTAAGCTAAAATCTACGTTCCTAATGTCGTAACTTTTTTTATTATCAGCTGCGACGGCGATTGCGGCGGCAGTGGCTAGCTGCTGCTGCTGCTGCTGTAGCTGCTGCTGCTGCGACTGCGACTGCGACTGCGGCTGCAACTGCAACTGCTGCTGCTGCTGCTGCTGTTGTTGCTGCTGCTGCTGCTGCTGTTGCTGTTGCTGCTGCTGTCGTTGCTGCTGTTGCTTTTGCTGTTGGTGGGCTAAAACGCTCGAGGTTAAGAGTATTGGTGATTGCTGGAACAGTCTCGTTATCTTGGCGTTTCGCGGCCTCGATTTAACATTGCTCGTTGTGTTAGTACGATCCTGCCAGCTACGCGAGCGTCTACGCAAACCGGACTCCAAGCGGTACGCCGACGAGGAGGAGTTGTTGGCGCGAAACTTCTCGACGAAACGATCGTTGAAGTCGACCTGCAGGCAGTCCTCGACGTATATCTCCGGTATACGATTCTTCGAGCTACCAGTGAGCTTTTCCGGCTTGAGTATGTAACCCTCGGAGACGCTGTACTCGCTGGTCTCCGGACTGTAATATCTCAGCATGTTCTCGTCGACGGTCTGCGATCTCGTGAACGGCGTACGCATCTTTCTGTACAACGAGCGTACCACTGCGGACTTGCTCCGTACGAGGGGATGTGGGACGGGATTGTGCTTCGAGGGGTTTTTGCTTCTGGGCGGCTTGGAGGGAATCATGTTCGGGGGGCAGTGACATTCGCTGCAGGGAACCCTAAGTCTGTGCCTGCGCCTATTGCGCCTAGGGGGCGGGGGCAAGGGGAATATGACACCGGGTATTAAAACGTTTTTAACTGTCGGTCTGCAAACAATGTTTTTCATATAGAGAGTTTTAGCGCTCCTGCGGAAACATTACCATGGTGTGAGCCCATTCTTCATATATAATTTAACATCTTTTTTTTTGTTCTTTTTTTCTTTTCTATCATCGTTATTCATACATTTTTGTCTGTCTATCTTTTATTTTTTTTTTTTTATATTTTCTTTATTCCATTTTTCTACCGCACGTTCGCGATCGATCGAACGAGAGAGAGTTTTCTTCTCCTTTTGCCGGGGAAACAATGGCGCCCGGGAATATCTTATTTATTATACATTGTGTTTTTTTTTTGTATTTTATTTTTTTTTTTCAATCTCATCCGCGCGCATCTCCGACACCTTCGACCAATTTGTGCATTTACTTTTTGATCGATTAAATTTGATTAGTTTCTTTTGTCGTCGTATTCTTCTTATTTTGTTTCAATTTTTCTTTATGTTCATTTTGGTTTGAATTTTCGTCACGCGCGTCTCATCGTGTCCCTCACAGAACCTAGCCGTTCGACCAACGCCACGCACTGATTCCCTACTTTATTTTTGCTCAGAATGGGACATCATTAAATGGACATTGACAATGTGCATAGGAGGTGCAGCCTAAATTAATAACTACGATTTAAACATATCGTTTAGAGATAAGATCAAGAAATAGATAAACATATTATTAGAGCGCGACACAATAAGGATTACTAAAGTTTTCATCTAAACAAAAAGCAAGCAGGAGGGACGAATAATAAAATGGTGCGACTATTGGGGTGGTGTACATTCATTCGACAATGTCCATTTAATTTCAGGGATTTTTCCATTGAATAACAGGCTAAAACCACCGATCGTTCCGCCCCTTTTTGTATTTTTTTTTTTCAAACTCATTTTCATCTATCGTTTAATATAATATTTTATTTCAATTCTCAAAGACTTATTATATTTAATAATAATAATAATAATAATAACATATCGGTTATCGGATTTCCATGCAGCGAACGCTTGCAAAACGCTTTGCGACATTTGAATGTTGTAGAAATTTTGGAAAAAAAGCTCGTTTTAAATAAACGATAATAAAAAGGAATGAAAAAAAAAAAAAAAAAGGAAAAATAAAAAGAAGAAGCGAGTCGGAACCGTCGTTGGCCATACTTCCTCTTATAATTAAATAGGATAATTGTTTTTAATATGAACTATATGGATTTTGCTTTGCTTTGTACAATTATTTGCGAATACGCATGAAGGTCATTGACCTCAGATGATACGATACTTTACTTTTTTTTTCTTTTTTTTCTTTTATTCTTTTTTTTTTTTTAACCAATTTTTTTCATTACGTTTATATTTTCTTTTTTTTTTTTCGTGACTCGTTAAAATAATCATTGAACTATACTCACATTAATCCCCTCGATCCACGTGGTCGTTCCGATTGCGTACTGAAGGCACTGCTCGTTACTGATGCTATGCTCTCCATGTCGGAGTCCCCAAGGTCACCAAGCACATCTTTGTCTGGACTTAAATGACCCCTTCGTGATCTGTGCAGTCTATGAGCATTACTGTGCGGTAACGATAATGGATCATGTCCCATCGATGGTAGATCCGAATCTGAAAGACCACTGTAGTGTCTTTCCCAGCCTAAAAAATACATTCATTTGTATTTCTAGCTTTGTACTTAAAAATGTGTTTGATTAAAAAACAAATAAAAAACTGACCTCCCATTCCTGTACTCCTATAAGTTGTGTGTCCTGGTCTATTACGATGCCTCATAAACCTTGCTCTATCTTCAAGATCTTGCGTTACTCTGTCCTTCAAAGCTGCTGGGATTTGTGGAAGCTGACGCTTCTTTGGCGAACCGGTAGGTGTGGCTGTTGCCGATCTAGAACCGAATCTAAACAAAAATTAATTAATTAACGAGTTCATTATTTATCATACAACAATTATATTCTTAATTTGAATCATCAAGGTAACTATCAAGCGTGAACATTAAACAAATAAATTCAGATTATCATAAATAAAATTGAATACAAGTACAAGTAACCCATTTTAGCAATATTGGAATTAAAAATGAAACTTTATAGAAGTGTTAAATCATCAAAACGAACAAATTATTCATGTTACTTACTTGAATTTGTATTAATTTTACTTTCAAGAAATAAAATATATTGAAGAAAGATTTTTCGTGATTTTTCTGTCCTGTCCGTTATTCAAGTTGAAAATATTAGTATCGAGTTAAAGTAAAGTTATTTCTTACCTCGGCATGTAACTGTGCGAATAAGGCATGGATCTGTGTTCGGGTGGTGATAAAGAACGATGACCGGTGGGACTTTGGGATCGGCCACGGTAACGTAAGCTAGGTGAATCCATTGGTGCTGCGCTGTGAGATCTGTGACCCATCATTCCACGATGAATATCGTCCTAGGAAAGTTTCGCAAAACGTTAAACTAAACCAACGTGTAACAAACTAACTTTACGGATTTTCACTAACAACAACAACAACAACAACAACCTAGTAATATTTATGATCAACTTTCTGACACACGAGATATCACTATTTATTCGTAAGTTCTCTTTTACACGTGGGACAGCAAAACGTTATCAACGTTTATACCACATATTCAACTAAAACCATCTCTAGTATGATTTTCTCCGAAAACTTTAGCTTCTCGAAATATCTATTAACTTTTGCAATCAATTTTCGATTAACTATTTCGTTGCTGCAAGCTTTGAAACAAGTATATGCTAAAACCATTTTTAAAAAGTACCCCGTATCATTCATACAGGGTTATTTCCATAGTTAATTAATTAAAAAGTAAACAAATATATTACAAATTTATTTCAATATTTTTTTAAAATTATTTTATAGGTTCATGCAACGACCCCCTGATATTTTAGAAAAATTAACTCGTCTGATGTGTCAAGTTTTTTTCATCTCATTCAATTTTTGTGGGAAAATATATAAAATAAAATAAATTTACCTTTCGATAAGTTTGATAGCCAGAGATGGACGCGGGATGATCACGGGACACCATAAGGGCAGCTCTTTTACGACCTTGGGGTGACATGTCCCTTCGACTCCGATGTTCACCATCGACACACAGGTCTCTTTCCGGCGGGGGGCTAGAATAGTGGCTGCTCCAGCATGCGTTCATGTTTTTCGTCGATTAGTGAGCGCTGTGTCGCTTACATGCTAAATGAGGCGAGTGCTGTGATATCTCGCGTTGACTAATTTTGGCAATGCATGCAGCTTTAGGATGATGAACCCCATCCATCCCTTTCCCTTTAATCGCTTACTTTTTTCCTTTTCTTTTCATTTTTTTCTTTCTTTATTAAAATTACCAATTCACTGACAGATTTACAAAATTCCTGATTCTACCATACAAAAAATAAATCTAAATTCATTTAATTAAACAACATGTAAGTTGATATTTGTTGAAAAAAATAATTACAACAAATTAATCTGTTAAGAGATTGAAATCTGTCAATGAATTTTTTTTTTTTTGAATCAATTGTCATCGTTGAATCTTTCGATTCTATTGGTAGAATACAAAAAAAAAAAAAAAAGGAAAAAAAAATGTCAAAAGGGATAAAAAAGAAGAAAAAAGAAATTCGAAGAAAGGCAAGAGAATATATAAGATAAGAAGAAAAAAGAAAACTTTAGTTAGCAAGTTGTAATACTTCGAGAACGAACCCACGAGCTGATGTTTAATTCGATTGGGATTACGTCACACCTACGTGTGTCTGACCATAATCGCATATATTCTACTTACACGTGGCGTATACAACTCGTTCGTTTTCTAACACCTTTTTGAAAGAAGAATTTAGAATTAAAAATATACAGATAAAATCGAATAGAATAATACGAAATTTTCATAAGAATTTTTTTTTTTTAATTTTAATTAATTAATAAATTGATTAATAAATTGTTAAACAGTAGAAAGAAGAAAACGAGTATGAGTTTGGTTCGAAAAGTAAGATTTTTTGTAAGACATGAAATAATATAATATGAAAATTCAATTTCAATGGAATAAAACTACTGGGAATTACAATAAAAAAAAAAAAAATAAAATAAAAAAAAATAAAAATAAAAAAGAAGTTAAGAAATGATAGAGATCAATTTAAAAAATGTAAGGAAACGTTGCTTCTTCCGTTTCGACAATTGGCACGATGCTAGACGGTATTTCGAGTTGCTTGCCAGACTATTTCTTCTATACATTTTACATGGTGTATATATACATACACATAAAAAGAAATGTGCGATACATAGAACATGGCGAGACACATTCGACGTTTTCTCAACTAATATTACTCGATCGCAAGGACAGTCAGTTTGTTGCCAAGAAACGAAATCGGACGCCTCGAATTTTATATACATCAAAATATATACAAGGTGTCTCCATTTAAACGATATGACCAAATATAATATTTCCAATTCTATCAAGGTTTCATATAGACAAATATTTCCAATAAAAATTATGACAATTCTTACGATGAAAATGTAATATCTGTCACATGGTGTTTTATTATAATAAAACACATGAAAATTATAACAATTTTTTGATTTCTATAAAAATTAATATTTTAATTGAAATAAAAAATGATGTAAATTTTGATTACCATTTCATCGAGTTACGGGTACTTTGAAATGTAACTTTAAATATCTCATAGACAATGAATTCTTATTTGAATTGATTTATTTTTCAAATCAAGAGTATCATAAATAAATTGAGACACCTTATATATAATAAACTACGAAACTATACATATTTCATACTGTACGTATCGTTAAAGAAAAAGAATTCGGTAGTCGTATAAACAAAAGGAAAATATTCGAACGAGCCAAGTTTTTTTTTCTTTTTTTTTTTTTTTTTTTCCATGGTATACGTTCACGCGTTTTAAAATAAAAAGAAACGAACGAAAGAAACGAAAGAAACGAAAGAAACTTGGAATCATTCGTGGACCACCACCACTTGGATTCTGCTGGCACCGAAAACCACGTTCACGTTTCGTCTCCTCCTACTCCTCTTCTTTCCAGCCAACTCTCTTATTTTCTTTTAACGTTTATACCACGAACGTTATGACGGGGTTTGTGTGCATGCATACCCAGAAGGATCAGAAACACGTAGCCAAAAAACTGGACGTTGCCCAAACTGCGGTTTTGGAAGGATTTTACGTATACGAAAGACACTCCCTGAAAACCTTCCTGCCCGTCTGGCATTGCAATTGCACTAAGTAAACGTTTTCCAACAACCAAACTCACTTTTTCTTCTTTAATTTTTTGGTTTTTCTTATATTTTTTTTTTTTTTATTATTATTATCGTTTAATATTTCTTTTTTCTTCTTTCTTCTTGTTTTTATTTTTTATATTTTCTCGGATTGTACTTATACATTATCAACTTGGTATATTTTGATTCATTATTTTTTTCACGTTATTAAAAATATTATTTCTCTTTTCTTCTTTTTTTTTATTTTTCTCTTGCTATCTATCTATATTTTATCTATTTTTCTACCTATTTAAATATTTATCTATCTATTTATCTATCTATCTATCTATCTATCTAGATTCATTTGAATTTATTTTTCTCGTCTTAAATGAGAATTATATTAATTCCAATCTAATAATATAATAATAAATGGAAAATATGTCAATGAGATTCTTATATATAATTTGATTTTTTTTTTATATATATAAGAAATAAAGAAGAAAGAAAAAGAGGAAAAGAAAAAAAAAAAGAAAAGAAACGAAAAACAAAAACAAAAAAAGGGAAAATTATGCAAACAAGCGTATATGGCAGGGTGAATTGACTAAAAAAGTGCCTAAAGTGGGTTCTCACGTCCCTCTAAAATACATTCGCACCTATTCAATTAGAATTATGATGTTTATAATATATGTAAACTAATATTTCAATTGTGTTAATGAGAATCGTGACATGTTTTTGTTAGAAATCTAGGAGGTCACATGCAAAAGGTATGCGAGATTCTTGCGTAACCAATAGGTGCGAATGTTTCTATATATTACATGTACATATGTGTATATAAATACACACATTTATATATATATATATATGATATATACACATACATACATAATAAATTTTATCATGCAATCAGTCGATCTTTCAGTCACAAATTTGCATCTACGAATAAAAACGCGTATCCAACTTGTGTATGTGTATATTTATGTACGTGTGTAATGTTTCGTGTAATAAATGTATATTCAATTATTTGTATATTAGCATATATATTATATTGTTATAAATAAAAAACAAAGTTTGTACTGTTTGCACTGATTAATCGTACGATTTGTTTTCCAATGGTATAAAAAGGTAAAGAAATAAAAAAAAAAAAAAAAAAACAAAGAAAGAAATGTGAAGGAGAAAAATGTTTAACAAAAGAATAAAAAAATGGACTCATCTAAACGCGACAAGGCTATTGTATTAGGTATTATATATGTATATATGAATTATTATTAGTATTATTATTATAAACCTAGCAGGTGAAAAAAGGATGCAAGAACTTTTGTGTATGTGTACGTACGTATGTATGTATGTATATATGTATGTGTTTAGTATGTGAAAGACTGCGTGATACGTGATAAAGTAGGAGTATATATAAAGTATAAGTTGTAGTGGCCGTACCGCTTATAATTTGACGGCATATTATGAAACCTAAAAAATAAATAACAAAACAGACGATTAAAAGTCGAAAAATCAAAGCGACGCGTTTAATCATATATAATATTATAATATATTATAATATATATGTATTTTTTTTATTTACTAATAATTCATTTAATTATCTATACGTGATTTTTCATTAAACTTTTTTTTTTTACGATCGCTTTACGTGTTTTAATTTTTTTTTTTTTTATCTGTTAATTATATTCTTATAATTTTTGTATTATATATTTTTATTATTTTTCGTAACACTTTACTATCACTCACTCACTTACTCACTCACTCACACACACACACACACACCTTTCTA